AGTCAACAAGAAACAGGCAACAAAATTTTGTAGTTGAGTAAAGAATATCTCAACCCACAACTGTTTCTTCGGACTTTTTAGCTTTAATGTATTAATATAGCTAGGTCGGTGTTATATCCATGCCCTAAACACAAAATTACTTCTATTTTGCCGAGGAGGGAGCAGAAGAGCAGATAAGTCATCGCACGCCGCGAGCCGCGCGGTTCCCCCCCCCCCCCAAATACATTAGCACCTGCACAAGATGGTTCTACGATGTTATGCCGCACACAATACCCCGAAAATTGCGCGTGAAATTAAAAACATCGCGTCGTGAGCGCACACAACCGGGCATACCATACCCGGTCTAGTTACCCAAGTCTGGGGTGCATATCGTTCGGCGCGGCCGGATTGCCATTGGGGCGCATCGGCAGCAATTGACACCCTCAGTCCGCTGATGTGGTGCGTATCGTGTACAGGGAAACTCGTCCACGTTTTTTAATATCTTGATCGACTACTTGAGGCTGCTACCGTGCGACTGCGTCGTCAACGTCGACGTAACCGACGAAAGCGACGTAACCAACATTTTCGACTACTAGTTCGCGAAGATTATATACGTACCGACGACGGACACGTAAGCGATGTAACCGATGTAACCGACGACAGAAGATTAGATACGTATCGACTGATGTCGAAAACGTCGGTCACGTCGCTTACGTCGGTTTCGTCCGTTAAGTCGACGTCGACGACTACGTCGCACGGTATGAACGCTGCCTGATCGACCTACGCTGGCAGTGCGCCATCATAGACGACCCATTCCGTCCGACTCTCTGCTTGACCATTTTCGCACGTTTTTGAGCTATTGTTTGCTCTCTTTCGTCCCGACATCCCTTTCTTAATGCTGGGTAGCTATTTATATCGAGAGTACTTTTGAGCTCTGATCTATCCTAGTTCGAACAGCTTCCAGTTTTTAATGAGTGATCCTTCGCACGGTAAGTCCAGTCCAGTTAACTTAGATAAGAGTTTAACAGAAAATTGGCTACCAGTAATACTAAATAATTCTTCCTTATGCACGCCCGGGCTATAGTTGCGATGAGCTCCATGCTGGTTCACTTTTTTCCGTGAGTATAAGCAAATTTGAGAATGTTATTATAGTTTCTTTTCATTTAGCTCTCATGGGCTGTGATTCACATAAGACGCCCTGCACTTTGCATTCTCTTAGAAATGGGGTATAATGGAGACCACTTACAAAACGTTTTGAAACATACTGTGGAGGTGCATGCGTTAGAGGAAACTAACGTATAACTTCCAGTTCACATCAAGGGTTCTGAAAGCTGCTTCCTTAGGCGTAGTAAGATTTTCTCCTAGTTTTAAGTGTCTCATATTACTCAAATTCAAGTTCTTTCTGTTCATTACGTTAGTCTCTGATGATATACGCTAGATTTGGTGTCTCCACTGGGCATAACAGAACAGTAATGCAAGAGTCTCACCCTTCGACTTCTCTCAGGCAGTAATTAATGAGGAATGTCATTTTTTGAGAAGGTCAGAATGCCAGTTCCAACTCGCAAATATCCTACTCTGTATAATCCGCTACACCAAATAAAAAACGTATGTTCTGTAAGTGTGTGTCTGTGTGTGTGTATGTTTGTGTGTGCGTCTGTCTGTGTGTCACGAAATTCATAGCGCCGGTCCAGTAACAGTGAGACATTGATTTAAGAAGTGATGTAGGCGTGTGACAGGAACACAAGTGGGGGTGACAGGAAGTGATATCAGCTGATAAGATACGATAAGAGGTGTTAGAAGGGGGAGGTCACCATATTCATAACGCGGGTGACAGCAGCAATGGGACGTTGGTACCAAGCAGTGAAATAGGGGGTGGGACGAAAACATATTGGTAGGTGACAGGATGTGATATCAGCTGATAAGATCTGATAATGGGCATAAGAGGGGAAGAACTACCAAATTCCACAGTGTGGCTCACAGGAACAGTGGGTCCTTGGATCGAGAGGTGCAATATAGGGTGTGGAACGGGAACATCATTGGCGGGCGACAGAAGATGATAACAATTGACAAGATACGATAAGCAGCCTCGGAACGGAAGGGTCATCAAATCCGTAGCGCAAGTTACAGCAACAGTGGGGACTTCAGATACGTGAGGTGATATAGGGTGATATGATAGTGATACGGGACGGGAATATTATTGGCGGGTACGGAAGTGATAAGGGCTAAACGTGACGAGGTAACATGGGAAAATCCGCTTCACCGCTCACATCAACAATGCGATCGATATGACTCAAGTATAACGATCTCAATGATTCCAACAGAACTCATTCCTCGCTGCTTATTAGTAACGACATCATGTACGGCCGCTAAGTTACCTCTATTCCAAATGCATGGGGTTTGTTTACAAAGATGTTATGAGCAGCAGCAATTGACTTAATCACTCCACAATTATCTTCCATCAGCAACCATAGTGAGGGCCATTTTAAGCGTTCTACTGCTCAATGCGGGAGTGCATTCCAAAGCAAGACGCTTCGACAGAATGCTGTTGTGTGTGAAGCGTGCGTCAAGGTGAGCGGGGCCAGCCTAAAAAAATTCTTCAAGCGATTCCAGAGCACTCCAGGCACTTCGGACCTCTATGTGGCACGGCCCGGCTTTGCGGGACGTGACTATCGCGCCTGCCTACGATCAAATGCTCGACTAATACCCAGCTTTTCTCTCATCTGTCCACTTGATCAAGGCTCCTTACCACCATTCCATACACCGTAATAGTGTTGAAAGGAGCAGGTATGATGCTATTGGTCAAGGAATGTTGACTACCTGTTCAGGTTAAAAAAACCTGTTATTAGGTGGCCAGTGAAATGAGTGGAATAAGGCAAGCGCGGCGGAGCCGCGCTGTATCTCAGAAGGAGGCGCGCCGGTGTCAGCCGGCCAAGCCGGCTGGTATAGATATAAAAGGGTACCGAGGTAAAGAATAAAAAAAAACCTATTGCTAAGCAAATCCCTAAATGCTTATGGAATGGAGGTAAAAATCGCCCGAAGTACCATTCGTTGTCTACTGAAAGCTGCTTTGAAGCAAGATGTATCAGAACTCAGAAGTACTCTATATATCCACTTCTAAGTAGCTAAGCAGCATAAAGGGATGTTGGGGCAAAAGAGGGCAAATTATCGCTCAAAAACGGACGAAAATGGTTAAGTAGGAGATTCGGACGTAATCAGTCTGTGTTGGCGCACTGCCAATGTAGGTCGATCAAGTACGTAATCAAGGAGTTAATAGAAGAGGACGAGTTGTCCGGCCAGCAAAACGCGTCGCATCGGCAGTGCGGTGGGTGGCAATTACCGATGCGCCGAATGGTAATCCGGCCGCGCCGAACGATCGGCTCCCCCAAGTTCGAGATACGATGAATAGCTCGTGTTACGCTTTTTGCACACCCGGTTGATGTAGGTTCATCTTCGACGCACGCGCAGGGGTGGGCGTAAGCTCCGGAGTAAAGTCACTCGGATAGCGACCCGCCTTACCTTAGCATGTGCCCAAGCGCGCGACCAACTCACCGCTTTCCACACAATGAATCTGAACCGGTTCCCTGGTCCCGCGGCCCGTTACGTGCATTCACGACCAACACAATCTATCTCACGCGCGATCTACGGGGGTTGCATGCAATTCGGTATCGGATAGTTAGGGAAGTCTTTCCAAAAACCTTCGAGCTATCTTATCAACAGTTAATACACCAATCACAAAGCAATCTGAATCGAATTTTGCAAGTCAATCTGAAGCAAGTCGAGTTTGCGTTGGAAGCCAAATAAAAAAAGGGGGAAGGGACATGTATAGTTACTTCCGAGTAGCGGTATTGCAAGCATTTCCAGCTAGCATAGTTTCTATCACTGCGACCTGTCGGATCGCAATTTTCCATGCGCGGCCTTCCCGTCAGTGGCTTTCCTTCCTACATCGATCATTGCTCGATCACCATCGGTAGAGCCGGACACGAGCTCGTGCCGCGCTCCGCTCGTTGCTCCCGACAAATTGCAATGTTACAAACTATGTATGCAAGTGCGTTGCCGAGTTGAGTGCCATGGGTCCTACAGCGAATGCTTCGCACATTAGGCCGCGTTCATAGCGCATTCGTGAAGAAATGCAGAAATGCGGAAAATGCAGGAGTGCGGAAAGTGCAGAAGTCGGAATCTGCAGAAAAGCAATAGATACTTATCGACTTGAAGAAATGCAGAAATGCCGAAACTGCAGAAGTGCGGAAAGTGTAGAAATGACGAAAAGCATTACATACGTATCGATTTGAAGAAATGCAGAAATGCCGAAAGTGAAGAAGTGCGGAATCTGCAGAAATGCCGAAAGTGAAAAATGCGGAATCTGCAGAAATGCCGACAGTGCGGAATGTGCGGAATCTGCAGAAATGCCGAAAGTGAAGAAGTGCGGAATCTGCAGAAATGCCGACAGTGCGGAATCTGCAGAAATGCCGACAGTGCGGAATGTGCAGAAAAGCAACCATACGTATCGATTTTCCACACTTTCGGCATTTCTGCATTTCTTCAGGTCGATAGGTATCCATTGCTTCTCTGCTCATTACGCACTTTCGGCATTTCTGCATTAATTCAAATGGATACGTATGTAATTATTTTCGTCATTTCTGCACTTTCCGCACTTCTGCAGTTTCGGCATTTCTGCATTTCTTCAAGTCGATAAGTATCTATTGCTTTTCTGCAGATTCCGCGCTTCTGCACTTTCCGCACTTCTGCATTTTCCGCATTTCTTCACGAACGCAAGCTATGAACGCGGCCTTACCTCGTTCGCAGAGCTTTTTCGCTGCATTAGCCGATAGTGGATCGCTTGGTTCGTCACACTTCGCAAAGCATCATTTCAGCAACTACACAACGTCACTGCCGTTTCGGCGAGTTTAAGAACAGATTGAACACTGCTTACTGACGCTGACTAACGACTCATGACGCGAAAAGTGGATGAATAAGGATATGACTTCAATTCTAGCTATGCGCAATGAGGAGCTACAACACAATCACCTAACAAGTAACTGCAATGATGGCTGAACTAACAAAATTTCTTTCCAGAACCACTAAGTTTCAAAACATGAAAATGTCACAGATGACGTAATATCAGGCACCGAACGACTGTAGCTCTCCAAACCAGAACAATTGTAATCAGAAGGAACAGCAGTACACAGAAATCCTTACAGACTACTTCTATGAGGCTCATACCTACTTGCGCCTTCGTCTCACCTTAGGCCCTTCTTTAGAGGGCGGTCGAAGTAGACGAGCAGCTCGGAGCGATTCTGTTCTCGCAGCTTCCTCCACGGTACACTGCACAATATCGCAGCCGAGACCGACGAAAATCTGAGATAATCTATACAAATGCTGTGAAGCTGAACTAGCGGGCTTTAAAGAACCCGCTCACAGCTGCAATGTCCATGTTCCCGTTTTGCTTCACGAAAAGTCGCCTGGTCTCACCAAAAAATGATATGAATGCCGATGGTGTATGTCATGTTGAAGACAGCATACAACAATCCCTTTCCCGCTTTTTTTTTACTGGATCAAGGATGAACGATCTAATGGCTGACTAAAAGACACCGAAGCTTTTCAAAACCGGAGTCTTTCCGGTCTTTGTCCGAGTGCTATATTCTTCACTGGCATAACCCCTTTCCCATCCTGTCTATCATTCTCCTGAAACTGGGGCGGAGGGGGGAGACAGACATCTCCGCGCCGCCAACGACGGAGGGAAACCATCAACCACTTCGAAACGCTAAAAAATGACCTTCTCCAGAAACCGTGACGACCGTCTCAAGGCATTTTGCCATGGTGTGATAGGCAGAGAGCAGCTGGGACCTGAAACCCTGATGTTCTGAGCATAAGATTTTCAAACTAAAATTTCATGATAAAACGTTTAATTTCAACCCTTTCTTACAACTGATGCTTTCAATATGTGTGACCATCTGTGCCAAGACGTGTTTCGGTTACCTCCCCACTATCCCGTTGTGTAGGATGATTGCATCAAAATGGCTCTACTACGAATGAAAAGCCATGGCGTAATGTGTCAGCAGATTGACTACAGTCCCAATCACTTTGATTATGATGTAGCGCAGCAGTCCCACATCAAGAAAGCGCAGAGAATACGGCGCTGCAAGTTGTGCCAAGAGCTCTGCATTAGCCCCACTCCTCCACATTGGATCCAGTCAATTCGGTGTGGAGGTACTATGAAAATACGAGCAAAATAGCCTCGCACTATCCCCCACAGTATTCAATTTTTCTTAACAAAGTAAGAAAGGCGTTACGTGAAATGTTTAGGAGCGTCAAATAAACTGACTGAGAGTGAGAGCCAAAGCCAGTAAATGAGCTATGAGCTTGTCCTTTTCATCCGTGGACACAGCTAGTCGAGCAGGCGTGCGGCCATTAGGTCCTCTATCCCACTGAGCACCTAGGATTATAGGAACATTTCAAGTAAGCCCATATGAAAATCAGTCAACGATACTGAAAATGAATAGGAACACTCACTAACAAAATCCGACATGATTTTTCGAACGAATTCTGAAGGGAAAGGTGTTTTGTTGAAATCAGTCCTCAAAACAGATTTCTGCGAAAACAGCTGAAAGAAAGGAGAGGATGAATAAATGGAAAAGTGGTCCAAAGAAGCAACTTACGGCAGTCAGGTAGGTCATGCAACCCAGTAATGCAAATGCGACCGCATTGGACGGATTACTACTCACTGAACTAGGCAGCATCTTTACCACTACCTCAGGGCAACCTTGAACAAAACTGTTTTCGAATTCGCTTTACTGCTTTTGAATCATTATGATGAATAATTGAGATAAGTGATTAGAATCAGTACCCTTCTCCAAGAGTTCTTTCTTTGATGAAGAGAAAAACTCGACAGCAGATGCACCCAATAGTTCCATTTCTTCGTTCGTTACGAACGTTGAAACAGGATAAATGTTCCGCGGCAATTCTGCAGGCTGAGCGTGAGGGAGAATTGACGACTCTGCCTGAAAGAAGTATAGAAGAACAGCAAAAACGCATTCTCGGATATAGAAATACCTCACCTTGACCACTAAACTAATCTGTTCTTTCTTGATGTCTTCTGTATCCGCCAGAACGCTTGTTGAGGCGAAAGCTGTCTTGCGCATTGCATCTAGCGTCTCCTGCAACGGACAAGTCAACTGATTCCCTTTGACTTGAATGTACTGCAAAAGAGACAAACAGTGTTTATTTGTCTTCGAATCGACGCTTCTTGTATCTTAAGTTTCTTTGAAGATCCAAAGTCAGAGGTCAAATCGATGCGCTTCTTTGCCCAGTCTTCAGACTTGATATCGTAGGATGCACTATAGTCCACAGGAGCACTTCTTCTGAAACATAACTCCTAACTCTAATAGTTCTATGGGGTACGGATATGTTGAGAGTTGGAGAAGACCGGTCCGCAGTCTTCTTTCCGCCTAATTTTTCCACAGAGCAAGAGAAAGGATGGCAACCAACTTCTCTCCAACCATTTGCGGAATGTCCGAGGAGTAGGTCGCCTGGAAACTGTACAAGCGTGCCGGTCTATATGTTGTTGAACCCGTTCCACGGTCAACAATAACAATGGCATAGTCGTATCCTTCGTCAATGCCGGACAGTTCTTTACCGATCTCAACGACATTTTCGCATACCTAAAACAGCTTGTCCACTTTGGCATTCACAAACCCAGGAGCAAACAAATGCATGTTGTTTTCATGGAGGCAACAGAACCTATAAGGGAGTGCAATGTAGAATGCGACGATCTTATTTTGAGGGAGGAGCAGTGATTTGTGTATTCATAACATATCGCTCATCCTTCGTGTTTGATAGTTTAGCATACATTTCCCAGGATGCAAATGAACAACAATTCGCAGGATTTGAATACTTCATACAGTCAGAAGCGCATACATTACGACCATATTTTTGGAAAATAAGCCATAAAAATGGAAAACGGAAGAAATCTAAAAAAAATGGTTAGCCGACCGGAGAGTCATGCGACACTTCGAGCGAATCATTCCAAAAAATGAATCACCTTACGCAAGCATTCGAAGATTGAAAATCCTCTAAGCATTATACCCCTTTTCGACTCATTGTACATTTCGGGTTTCTCCACGTTCATTCTGTAGAAGTCAAGTAAGGTAACATCTTCGATGTAATGAAGGATTCCGTTCACCGTGCCACAATTCCATGCTGGCATTAAGGCTTGGAAGCTCTCGGTATTGCATTCGAGGGTAGGCGCCACTCGGCTCCTCACAAGAAAGGAGTGAAAACCGTTCGCTGGACTTCTTGGGAACGCAGCCGAATGTAATCATCTGTAAGTTGGCAAAAACTATAGGCAACATCCAGAAGACACCTGTCAAGCAGTAAGTGAGTGGGTGTCAGTTTGACAAGGCAAACCGAACGCGTACGCTTTCCTCCGCATGGATACCAGTACAGCAGTGGCAGCCATAGCCCTCTCTCTGCAACCAGAACGTGGCTCACAGGTTTGGTTGAAGTCGTACCAAATGGCCCACATATTCCCTACCGACAGGCGCGCTCGCACGAGGCAAGATGACACACCAAAGAATTGGATTTTGCTTGGGAAGAGTGGTCGCACTCTGCCTACTAACCTTGAAAGGCCTAGAAACTCAGCCCTTCCGCTTATTGCGTACCAGTCGGCTCGCCGGCGCGTCTCCTTCTGATACGGCCCGGCTGTGCCGGGCCGTATCTGAAGACGCGTATTTTCTTTCACATATTTGTAGACTCAGCTGATATCCGCCTTTTGTTCTGTACTCCACTTTTTCCGATGTCTGAAGTACTCTTGAGCTATTTTACAGATTCTTCGTCTGACTCCGCCCACCTCGGAGCAGGCCCCGCTTGCAATGTTTGTGCCCCACAATCCCCACCGGCGACCCTCTGCTGACCTTAATCCACTTTTCCGGTCTTCGGAGTGCTCTCGAACCGTTTTACAGACCTTTTTGTCTGGCTCCACCCACCTCGGAGCAGGCTCCGCCCACAATGTTTTGCCCCACAATCCTCACCGGCAACCCTCTACTAGCCTTAATCCACGTTTTTTTTTCCGGGTAGAGAATTTTCGTCTGGCTCCGCTCACCTCGGGCTGACCCCGCCCACAATAGGTCTACCCCACATTTCTCAATCGGCGACCCCTTGCTGATCTGAATTCACTTTATTCCGGTGCCTGGAGTGTTCTGGAACCGTTTTACAGACCTTTTTGTCTGGCTCCACCCACCTCGAAGCAGGCTCCGCCTTACAATGTTTGTGCCCCCACAATCCTCACCGGGCGACCTCTGCTGACCTTAAATTCACTTTTTCGGTCTTCGAGTGCTCTCGAACGTTTTACAGACCCTTTTTGTCTGACTCCGCCCACCTCGGAGCAGGCCCCGCCTACAATGTTTGGTGCCCCACAATCCTCACCGGCGACCCTCTGCTGACCTTAATTCACTTTTCCGGTCTTCGGAGTGCTCTCGAATCGTTTTACAGAACCTTTTTGTCTGGCTCCGCCCACCTCGGAGCAGGCTCCGCCACAATGTTTTGCCCACACAATCCTCACCGGCAACTCTCTACTAGCCTTAATCCACGTTTTTTCCGGGTAAGAGAATTTTCGTCTGGCTCCGCTCACCTCGGCTTGACCCCGTCCACAATTTTTTTGCGCCCACAGTCCTCACCGACGACCCTCTGCTGACCTTAATTCACTTTTTCCCGGTCCTTTGGAGTGCTCTAGGACAGTTTTAAAGAATTTTCGCCTGGCTGCCGCTCACCTCGGGCTGACGCCCGCCCACAATTTTTTTTGCCCAACAATCTTAACCGACGACGGTTCCGATCCACTGCAACACCTCGGGCTGACCCCGCCCACAATTTTTTTGCCCCACAATCTTAACCGACGACCCTCTGCTGAACTTAATCCACTTTTTCCGGTATCTGGAGTGTTCTGGAACCGAGCTACAAACTTTTAAAATGAATACCCTGCGATTTAGGGCAAGCTCCGCCCACTGTGGGCGGGTCTCAACACACTCCGAGTGTGCCCTATATTCGCCGGATATTTACATTCTACACTGAGTTTTTTGCGACTTCCAAACACTCTCGCGAAACGGGTTACTGAATTTTACGAGAAGCAGCGCCCACCCTGAGTACCGCCCCGCCCATTTAGGGTATACCTGCCACAGTTAGTCTGGCGACTCCTTACTAACTTTAGTCCCTTTTTCCCCCATCTTTGAGCTGCTCCGGAAGCGAATTATGAACATTTCGGCGGGTGCCCCGCCCTTTGTGGTCGGGGCTTGCCATAGGTCAAGTGTGCTTTTTATTTCTTGTCCCATGCCCTACCTATCCCCACCTTGACTGGACCTCTCCAAGTCGTTCTTCAGGTCGAACCGAATTTCCGGACAGACAAACTTACAAGCTCACAAACAAATAAACACACAAAGCGAATTATATATATGGGGTGATCAAGGAACAATGCAAGGCCTAGATAGCGAAAACCGCCAGTACTCACCCATTACTGCCCTAGTCATCCGGAATCAAGCCAGTTTTTGACCGGCACTTGTCTCTGGGGGCAGATTGACTTAAAAGTTGTCTCCTAAGGTAACCTCCTGAACACGATTACGCATCCACTTGGCTCGAAACCTGATGGCGCCAGCGCCACCGCCGCAGGCGCTAGCGCCAAAATACTCAAAATCACCAAAGCTGTAAACTTGTCAGCTGGAGTAGTTCGACCTTCTGAACACATCCGCTCAGTCTGAAACCGCCGGATACGAAAAAACCGCCACAAGCGACTCATCACATGCTTGTTTCGTTTTCGGCGAGCGTAGCACAGACATCAGTCACTTTCGTGCAGAGCAGTGTGCTGAGGCAGCTACGGGCACGGTGAAGAAAAACAGCACCTTTTCTTTTTGCCTGTGATGGTGATCCTTCTATAAGGCTCAGACTTAGCAGAGGAAGGGAACGTTATCTTTCGGGAAGGGTGCAGACGAGCAGAAGCAGGTTTGCGCTATCCGTGGGCACCCTAAACTCCATCCTTAGATTATCAACAACCATACAGATGTGATTGTCGTGCCGGGGAGGCGTGACTACACATGGGACAATTTTCAACGAATTTAGTTATTTGGGATACTTTGGTGTTGGCGTTTCAGGCCGAGCGGGTGGGATATTTGTGTTCGGAAGGTCAAACTACTTCTGGGATCCGTTCTCAGCGAATTTTGCGGTTTAGAGTATTTTATTTCATTTATTTATTTGTTAGCACAAAGTGCGCGCCATCGACAGTGAAAACACAACCTTTGGTATAACAAAAACAAAGGAAGAGAAAAAAAAACCGAACATGGAAGAAACAAACAAACTGCTACATGTGCCAAGCAAATGATAAGTAGGAGATACAGGGAAGCCATACAAGCCAAGCAAAATTTAATAAAACTAGCCATGCATTAAGAACTTCTCTCCCACACGACACCTCGGTTATACGATAAGGTTAACTTGATGAGCCACACACTTGCGGTCTTGTGGTAGAGGAAGAGAAGGGGCTACACATAACTAATAACTTCATAATTAACTGGAATCGTAGGCCTTTGCACTAAAAAATGACGATGTTGACTAGGGCGCCGAGGTTTTGGGCCGAGGGGATGAAATTCGTGTACAGGAGGTCAATCTACCCAAGGTGACAACTTTTAGCCAATTCTGCCAACGGAGAAGAAAACTCGTCGAAAACCGGCCTGATTTCAGATGAAAAAAAATAAAACTAGGGTCTAAAATACTGTTAATCAACAGCAACTCGAATGAGATCGACAGCTTTTTCTCGTAGTGTCAACTAATTTCTGGAAAAGCAGAACCGCTAAGCTGCTCAACGGTTGGAAACGTCCTTACCTCGAATGTTAATGGTGACAATCCGATTGAATGCCTTGTTCAGAAAGAGAAAATCTAGTCTGCAGTGAATAATTAACCAGCAGAACCAGTACTCGTACAAATCACGAGAAACCGTCTTTGAAAGCCATAGTTATAAAAGCGTAGACCCCACTCATTATGCAAAAACCATCAGAATCTTCCCAGAAGAAACAGCCAATAGAGGAAAAGAAAACGATGGAAGCAAATAATTGACTAACATCTGTTTTGATAGTGAAAACGGGTTCTCCGCGCCGCCCATCAACCGGGCAATGCTCCTGAAAGTTGATCTTTGTCACGTCCAAGGCGCGGTTATGACTGAAGCAGACAACAACGTCGTGGTCACTTCTACCAACGGTCGACTTGCGTTTTAGTTTCTCGCGTTCACTGCGATGCTTTTCCGTCTCATTTTTGAACATCTGTGGTGACAGTAATGACCAATAACATTAAGCTTTATCCTTCAGCTAGTTGAAATTGAATCTACAGAAATACCGAGTATGTGTGGCAGTAAAACACACTTGGACATTCAACAGCACAAAAACAATCATTTATCAAACATGAAGAACAGAGATATAAAAAAACCGTGTTCCAGTAGGGTAACACGTGGAAATAGAAGGGAGATCAGCATTATTTCAAAATCACATGCAACTTCTCCAGTGAGCAACCGCCTTTTTTCACGATGGATGTGCAGAACCGCGATCCCAAGTTCACTTCCAACGGAATGAAACCGTGTTTTTCCTCAAGCTGACCGATATCGAAGCGCGGGAACGTCATGGCAAATTCAGAAGTGCTATTCTACAGTTGCTTCCAAAGCGGTGGCATACAAGGGTGTCACGAAATGTTACCAATAACAATAACGATTATTCAGAGGGCGCAAGTGGCTCACAAAAGAATTTAGGCGTGAGGTTCAGTGCATTGCAGTAGTGGACCACGGACTCGCACATATTCGACGCGCATTACCTGAAAAAAGCGGTCGCACCGATTTGCTCAAACTAATTTGTTGGAGAAAAAGCAGAACTTTTCGTCAAAAAATTGCTGTTGAGCTGAGAGGAAGAATGAGAGTTTTCGTTCTGTTCCGAAACTAAGGTTTCCATGTTTTTTTTTTCCTATGCTACAGTCTAATCCTATTCCACTGGTAACCAGAGGCACCAGTCGTCCTGGTAACCAGAAGTTCGAATGCGTGAACTTGAAATCAGGCTCACTATTGTTGCTGGAAACCGCGAAAACCATTAAATGGCACTATTCAGCTATTTCTATCCCAAAAAGTCCGTAGATTGTAGTTTGCTGTCCCATCACGATTATAGCACTCGTTTCGCTGGCGTTGAATTGGCGCCAGTTTTGGCGCCGCACCTTCCCAACAAATTGTAAACTTGCATGGTATGTGTTATTTGATGTCCTGATCGCGATTACCGAATTAGTTTTCCTCCTTGCCACCATTGACGCTGACTTGGATCCACACCCTTTTTCATCAAATTGATAAAAACGTGCACAATGGGTTGCTTGATGCCCCGACCACGAATATGACATTCACTCCAGCACCATTTAACGCTTTTCTAAGGCTGAGCCGGGTGAGAAAGAGTATATTCTTTTAGGTCAGGCCAGCAATGCAGAGCGCCAGATAATCACAGCGTGTTCCATCTGCGCCAGCGCCAAAAATGAATGTTATATGCATATCAAGATGTTAAATGGTCTTCGTATACAAGTTTTCAGGCGGATTTAGTAACCTCAGGTTACTTCAGCGCCAGCGCAAATACCGCTAGTCAGGCCAAGTGGGTGCGATGTTCAAGTTCAGGAGGTCAGTTCATTTGGAACCCAACTTTCATTTCAAATCTGCCCACGTAGAGAATACCTGATAAGGATCCGGCCTGTTCTTGGAGAACGGGTTTGTTTCCCAGGTAGAGCGCGACAAATATGGTGTGAGTCCGCAGCCGACTATCGCAATGCATTCAACCTCACACCTAAATTCTTTTTGTGAGCCACTTGCGCCTACTGAAACATCGTTATTGTGTTACCAATACACCTACCCTGCGTCCAAGACACATCAATGTTCCAGTAACGGAATTCTTTTTCGTGTTGTCGTTTCGTCAGTTCCAGTCAATTCTTTAGCAAAAAAAGTGACTTTTTATGATACTTAACACACATGGAACTAGAAAATCACGTAATAAGAAAAACCGGCCCGTGTACAGGTCGAAATAAGCACGTAGTAGACAGTATGCTGAGTATGAGATTATCGGTCGCATCGCTACAGTGAGGTCATTCCGGAGCGCCCCCCCCCCCCCAATACAAGATTCTGAAGACAATGAACTAATATGTGCTTGTTGGCAAATCACCCGTATTGTTTACTCTTCCACATAACATGGTGGGCATCCTAAAAACCGACTGTGCAGGAACGTGAACTGTCCGTGCTCAGTTACAATGAAGCCGGGTGGTAGGAGCTCGAGGAGAGAAGAATCATTGTGACGGTATGTGTAAAATTTGCATTCCAGGAGGCAAACTGACTAATGTCGATATTGGCAGCGGAAGGACCAACCTAAAACAGTACCAAGCTACATTAACAGTTCAAACTTTTCAAAAGACTGAATTACCAATGGGAATCGGCTGTCCAATGGGAGTGGCATGAAGAACTTGTCCATTCTCAAGGTGATACACGTCGTTACCGGATGCGCCATCGCCAGCCAACACATACTGCACCTGAGCAGGCGTTCCTATCACGCCTTCCGATGTCACGGTCAGTGAGTTATTGGCCAGTTCATCCTGACAAGTTTTGTGCCACTACAAGCAATTGATGCGCAAGAAAAAGGCTTCATACATGGATCTTCTTTGAATCTTCACGGGGAACGATGTCGATCAGGAAATCAAAGTGTTCGAATCTACTGCCGCAGCAAGCAATGTCTGACTGAAATATCAGCCTCCACTATATATAATTTGCCTCGTCTATTTGTTTATTTCTTGGTTTGTCTGTCCGAAAATTCGGTTCTACCTACAATTTAGAGAGGTCGGGTCAAAATGGGGATGGGTAGGGCATGGAACAAGAAGAGCATAGACGAGCTATGCGAAGCCACGTACAGTCCTCAGTGGTCATGCGCCGAAAGTTGGCGTTGCCGCAGAAAAGAAAACCCATAACTCGCTTCCAGAGTAGCCCAGAGATGGGAAAAGGTGAAATAAGGTTAGCAAGGGGTTGTGAGAGTAACTACTGGAGACATACCCGAAATGGCCGGGCGTACTTGAGGTAGGCGGCGCTTCCCACAAAATTCATTAACTCGGTCCCCGAGTCTAGAAATCGCAAAAAGGTCGATGTAGGGCAACACCTGGGGAGAGTTTGACATGCCTGAGGTGTGCTGAGACCCGCCCACAGTGGGCGGAGCTTGCTCCCGACCACAGGGTGCCCATTTAAAAAAATGGAGCTTGGTTCCAGAGCACTCCAGAAACCGGAAAAGAGTGGATAAGGACAAGGTGCAAATAGTCGCCGGTGAGGAATGTGGGGCACATACGTTGTGGGCAGAGACTGCTCGAGGTGGGCGGAGTCCGACAAAAAGTTCTGTGAAACGGTTGGATGAGAGAAACATATAGAGATAGCTGAGTATGCCTGTGGTGTGTTGAGCAGAGGGGATGAAGCGTGTCCTCAAGCACGAGGTACCTATTTCCACTGCGCTTTAGTGCATAGGCCGTCATACTCTCAAACCCTGTCGTCACAGGTACGTTTGTTCCCAGTCGGTTCGCAGGCTGATGCCGGCACGACTCTCTAAGGCCGCGTTCATAGCTTGCGACCGTGAAGAAGTGCAGAAATGAAGAAATGCGGAGTCTGCAGAAACGACGAAAAGCATTGGATACATATCGATTTGAAGAAATGCAGAAATGCGAATCTGCAGAAGTGCAGAAATGACGAATTGTGGAAAATCGATACGTATTTAAAGCTTTTCGTCATTTCTGCAGATTCGGCATTTCTGCATTTCTTCAGATCGGTATGTATTCAATGCTTTTCATCGTTTCTGCAGATTCAGCATTATTTCGTTTTCCTATCCTTCACTTCTTTCTTAAGAAATGATTTCCTTCAGCTCTGCATTTCTTCACGGTCGCAAGCTATGAACGCGGCCTAATAGGGCCAGGCTTTTTTGCCAGTTTTGCTTGGCCTCGTCGCGCCTACCCGCTCCTCATGTTTGAATGCTCAAGTAATGACCGTTTTCTCTCTCACCTATGCACTTGATCAACAGTGCCTACCACTTCAGAGACGGTAATGGTGTCGAAAGTAGCAGGCATGATGTCGTTGGTCAAGGAGCGTTGCCAACGTGTACAGGTTGCTCTGGATTGCCGCCAGAACCTGTCGGTTTTATGAATGACTGATTGATATGTACAGGGGAGGGGGGCAAAAAAAGTCACTGCGACCGAGTCACTATCAGCAAAGTTCTCGCAGCCCATACAGAGGACATAGATACGAGTACCAGGGCGGAAGATACCCGAATGCTCCTCGATAACCAGGAGCTGGCTCTCGCCCATCACCTCCATGTGCACCAAAAAGAAGTCATCTCCAGTCGCAGCCTGACGACAAGATCTTTGGAATTCATGTCATCCAATCAGCTGCGAAACTTCTAGTATGGAGTCACCCATGGATAGCTGCCTGGAGACCAGTACTCTCGATCTGGAAGACCTCCAACATCGAGTAGCTCCGACAATGTCACTACGGTTTAGGATATCATCTTCGGCTCAGTCGCCAAGGCGGTGGGTTATGGTATGGACCGGATGTACCTGGAATGGAAACACCAATATTTTCTTCGTGGACCGCGGACTGAAGGTGAGCGCTGGCGGTACATTGAGCAACTCGTGAAGAATATCCTACTCACATGTCGCCGCCCGTACCTTCCTGGAAACTTTGTACTGCTACAGCATTGGATGCCACCACATGGAATTGAAGGGCATCGGAGAAACTCTCGCCAACTTGGGATGGAAGGAGGCTGAACTAAAGAAGATGGAATATCCAAGCAGGTCACCTGACCTGAATCCCCTCAATTACCCGGTCCGGGCGGAGTTCAATAGGGTGGTTTACGGTGGCGGAGAAACCGACTATCTCGCTGACCTCAGCACCACATCGCGGTCGCGTGCCAGAATCTCTCGATGGCGCTCGTTCAGAAGGCTGTGGCAGAGTGTCATGATAGTATTTAATATGCTCTTTAATATGGTGGTAGAAATGTTCGATCAGAATTTGATGAAGTGTAACTTATAGCGCCTCGAAAGTCAATGGAGAGAAGTGAATTTTTTGCCCCCCCCCCTGTATGTATGTAAGAGACATTGAGACATAAGATTATTACCCGTAGGTGAGTGGTTGATACTCTTCCCGTGTCCTCACCTGTATTGAGCGGCACGCTTAGATTGGGTTAGCTTTCTACCACGCCCACCACCGAGACCACCCTATCCCATCCTACTCTATGTAATTCGCTAAGTATGTCTGTACATGGGTGTGTTTGTGTGTCTGTCTGTCTAAGTGTCACGAAATTCATAACGCCTGTCCCAGTAGCAGTGAGACAATGATTTCAAGAAGTGATGTAAGGGTTGTGACGGGAACACTATTGGTAGGTGACAGGAAGTGATATCAGTTGATAAGATTCGATAAGCGGCTGTAGAAGCAGAAGGTCACCATATTCATAACGCGAGTGACAGCATCAGCCAGCTCTTGATTTCTCGAGATATGATATAGGGTGAGGGCCAAGAACATTATTGGTGGGTAATAAGAACTGTAAGCTGCTGTTAAGATTCGATAAGGGATGTGTCATCGTATTCGTAGCGCAGGTCACAGTATCAGCGAGGCGAGCGTTTTAGCAAGTGAGGGAGGGGAGTGACTAGGGAGTGAGTTGGGGACATCAACCGTGGGTGACTAGAAGCGATAAAGTGATAGGGACTGATAATTGAGGTTGCGTCGTCGTCCCTGTTCAAGGCGGTTCACGCTATCAAATCATAGAGATTTAGTGATGAGGACATTGATGACGGGTGACAGGTAATCTTATCAATCGATAAAAATGGATACGATACCATCTGCGTACATTTGGATTACCTCTAACCGCTTTAATGCCGAGTATTCGAGGATCAGATTGTGAATCTTTCCTTTGACCAACACCTTCCTGATAACACTAGAAAATGAACCCATTCCTACTCTATATAATGTCGATGTCGGACGGGGGGGGGGGGGGGGGGAGTAGTGGGGAGCTATGTAGGACGCCTGAAACAGGAAAGTCAGGGTAAGTTTTTAGATTTTTTCGAACTTTCAATTACTGATTAGAATGAATAATAGGGGAGTAAAGTACCAAAATTATTTACACTCCAGCGAGCGCTATATTGATCACTGCACCTTTATCTATATCTATAGGTCTATATGTTGCATGGGCGTTATGGCGCGGACCCCAAGTATAATCGTCGTTTGCTAAGGAATACAGGGATCCGCAAGGCTGCTCTATTTGTTATGACTGGACCAATACAGCGCTGTATGAGCAACCCAGTGGTTGAAAGATCGTTCCCTATTATGGAGCGCGCCTGGCGAAGGCAGGCCAGCTCGGCAAAGCCGAGCTGAAGAAAAGGAAGAGAGCTCAGCGTCAACCGGGCGATCAGACTGATACATTATATACCACCACTACAATCACGAGACCACCCGTCTCGTGAATGAATCTATATAAACCTACACACCAGTGAAAGAAAAGCAGGACAGTTGTTGTGTATCCAAACATGTGAAAGAAGGTACGCGCGGCGGAGCCGGGCTGTATTACAGAAGGATGTACGCCGGCGTCAGCTGCCGAGCCGACTAGTAGCACATGTTTCCCAACACAGCAAGCACTGTTCTTGCACAACAGAAAACTAGCACTACAAAAAGCTATGTCCTGCAATTCAAAGGACGCTCTCATATTTAATAAAAGAAGAAAAGCGGGAACTGGGCAATAATCGATGAAATTGTCAACACAATACGGTCCTCGCGAAAAGCACTACACCTTCTGCAGAGTTTTACGACGTCCTTCCTCTACTAGCTGCCAAGCACGGAGTGTGATTTCCTGTATGAACATTTCCGATGCAGCAGCCAAAAGTAAAGGTGCATCCGAACTTATCATCTAAAAATACGGAAATAATACAAAACGTCGCATTCTTCAAAGTTCCAGTCAAACTATGCACCTGCGATCTGACGTCATCGTCTATTCGCATAACTTTTTTAACTCTAGCCATCGGCAATTCCATGTGCTTGCAATGTTCACGCATTTCGCTCTACAATAACTATCCCCAATAATATCCAAATGATTACAGAATGCAACGATCTCAATTCTGTCACGGTAACAATCAGCCCAATTCAACGACGTAATACACGAAGATGGAATTTCTACTGTGAATGCCTTCAAAAGGAGCTGCAACTCCTAGTCAGGGGAAGATACAAAACACTACTCAGGGAGAGCAAAAATACACAGTCAAACACTATATTTAATACTCTCGAAATACCTGAGATTTGGTAGGCGTGGCTGCATGATTAAACCCAACGTGGCGGTGACTGTGCTTTATTGAGACATTTTCATTGGGAGACGGTAAAGGGGATCGCAATTCGTCGCACCGCCACGCGCGGCGTTTTCATAACTCGTTTTAACCTGTCGAATGGAGCACTGGACTTCGTGGATACCCCGCCATCGTAGACACTCATTACTGTTTTCGATCCTTAATTGCATGTTGTCGCCATCTACTGCCTGAAACCATCGTCCTTTGTGGGCGAGACGTCGCACGCGAAGCCCAGCAGCGCGGCAAATTACGATCCTCTTGTCACGTACCCATTTTCATTTTCACATTTGTGGTAATGCCTCTGTACAATACTGAACAAGATGGCAGTTGTTTCAAATTGAAATATCCATAATTAATCCATTCTATGCAATGTGGAGGCGGAGATGGTGTAGTGACAAGTGGGGCGCTCATCATTCGCGCGGTCCCGGGTTCGAATCCCGGGTCGACTCCCGCCCAGGCCAACCAAGCCTTCTACCCTCCGGGGACGGTGAATTGGTACCAGATTCGTCTGGGAGAATAAAACACTGACTTGTACATCGGCTAGCCACCGCAAGTCATTGTAGGCCACATCGCATTCAATAACCCACTACGATTCTGAATGGAAGTAGAATGCGTGCCGCATCCCACAAAGGGATTGATCAACGGCGAAGACTTTATCCTTTTTTATCCTTTTATGCAATGCTCAAATGCCTGCACCTCTTCAGGGATAAAGTGTGTTAAACAGCGCTCGCGAGGAAAAGTCGAGACAAAACAGAACTGTTGTCAAACCCACTTCAGTCATGTGCTCAATCTTCCTCATTTGTCCTGGCCAGAAATCGCGCACCACCTTGGCCACATCATAGAGCGGTCCAGCTCGCTGTTGTTGATGTTGTTGCATTGACGGTGGTACGAAACCCGGGGCGGAGACTGTGGCTTGCTCTGCCACCACCATCTGCTCCGTGCTGCTCATATTGCTCATGCTTATGATAGCAAACACTACAACTTATACTTTTTTTATTTTTAATTGCAGTAATATGTAATATGTGGTTGTTAAAGGGGTAGCCACGAACGCGTGGAAAGAAAAACAGATTCCAAATGAATTGAACAACACTTGCTCAACACAACAGGTTTAACGCATTGTACCTAGAACAAGTGCGACATTTTGGGTCAACAACGGACAGAAATGGTAGCTGCATGAACCTGCGAGGTAGGCCGTCAATCAACAGTTCCACCTAACAACCTTGCAGGCATAAAAGAATTAAACACAAATAACAACGATGTTGAGGTTCTACGAAGACAGAAGTTGGAGACTAACGATGTTATTTATAAATACCACCAATCACACTGTGCAATTGCGTACTCACTGCTGCTACCGTAATCCACGTCTAATTCATATTCATGCTGTGGCTACTTCGCCAATTGTAATTAAGCAAAGGCAAAGGAAATGGCTGTGATTGTGCCGAAGGGGATAATGAAGATTCGATTTTGTATCACAAGTTTGTTTTTAATTGGTTGAATCATTGGCGCTTTCACTTCAGACCCTTTGCAAGTAAAGGATGCGCTCCTCAAGTGAAACCTCATGGTGGGTGCTTAATAGTGTTGTTTCCTGGTCAAAATGCCAAGCGAGTGCAAACATGACTGAAGGGGAGGCGGGGGGGGGGGAACGTGGGCCAGTGCTTCGCGGAAATCGGGACGAAGGGGTCGCATGTTGCATGCAGGTAGTAGAGGGGATGGGGTCGTAAGTGCAGGTGTCACTACTGCGCAAAGCTGTGGCAAATAAGTGAAGCACTGTTTTTGTGTCTCGCCGTGGAGTGCCGTATTCAGTCCGGCTGCAAATTCATGATAAATTGATGTGCTGTAATGAAACCACCACACAGCAGAAAGTGAAGTTAGTCTGAGTATGACGAGGGAACCATTAGTTGTATGGTAGGGTTGTCTTCCCTGAACCTCGTCCAGCAGTTACATATCCTTATTTCGTATGTCTCTGCGATCTCGCACTGAAGATGAATACTAACGGTTTAACAGCGCTCCTGTACTTCAAGTTTTATTCATATTAAGCGGTTTCTGGATAGAAGTGTGGCTCAGGTAATCGAGAGACCTTCTTGTTGCAGCTATAGTAGACCCTCGGATCAAATCCGCGTCGAGTGTTTTTTGTATAGTAGGCCCAAAACACATATTGAAGAAAATTTCTATTTTTCAACTTTGCCTAGCTCGGTGGTCCAGTACATTATGTTCGAACCAACCCATGCCCAAAAAAAATCAAAAATTCGCTTCTACCGAAAATTCCTCGCGTTATCTAAGGACCGAGGCCGTATGAACCCTTCTTTCTGTAACGGGTCATACCATACGCGATTTTGCATTTGTAGGATCCTGAGGGCATGATGCATAGTTCCTCCTATTAAAAGAGACATGAGCCTAGGTTGCGGATAGCAAGTTACAGTTGGCGCGGCCGCGGCTGTGAATTGCCTGCGTGGGTTAACCGGTGTTACCAGGAGGTTGCCATTTTTCCCTAGTCATCTACGAGTTGTTTTTTGACCCGGGTCGTCAGGATACTACGTTCTGCCCTTCAATTACCCCCTCCGGGCTTTAATATTTTCCATTGTGTTGGTTGCGTGAAAGACAAAACGGAGGTTTCGTCGTAGAGTATCGGAGATGAAAATGGAGTTTTGTAGTTCACGCAACCATCGCCGCCAAGGCGAGTCCCGTACGACGGGACGTTGGCGGCGGGTCAGCATGTGGACCAGGAGCTACGCGAAGCGTGTCGCGTAGCGTTCATGCTGACCCCGCCTGTTGGGAGGTAGACTCCCCATTCCGGCTTTCGTTTCGTGTTTCATCCAAAACCGGCCCACCCTATGAACAAATGCGAAACAAAGACCAGATCGGCATCCGAGTAAATTGGCACTTCCAGGCGGAGCAATATGCCCCGAATCATGGGATATGCATTCCACTTCGTCCAATCGCTCAACACCGTATTACGAAGCGATTGGATGAGTTGACTAGTATTTCATGTTTCAGAATGATCGAGCAAGATGAATCAAAAAAATGAACCTAGATAGAGGGGTGCAGTCTGTTAGAGAGTGACTTATTCTATGAATCAGTCCAATGGAAAGCTTCTATTGCGTATAAGCCTTGCATCGCCTCAATAAGCAGACTTGCTTCGCTCTGGCTTAGTTGCTCTTGGACTCTTAGGGTACGACAAATAATATGGATCTGCAAGCTGAAGGAACTCTCCTTTTACACTCAAACTGAATGCGCCCAGTGAAGCTCTAAAGACACCTTGTCGAAGAACATAGACATAAAGCCAGGCTACATTATAGCTCTCGCTAATAGGCGCAATCTTGATTTGGATGTTACAGATAGATTTTAGTGAAGGCGAACTTCAAAGAATGTGACCCTAGTCGTTTGTCCTATGTGGAGTGTCAAGTCGATCAAGGTATGAAGTAAGAGCAACCCTGAGCACGCCAGATCACTTGTTGTAGGGTCTCGGGGTCTCGGCCTGCATAAGGGGCAGGATATGTTCATACTCTCACTTTAACACAAATGCAACTGAATTCCGATGGTTCGAGCAGCATGCTCCTTAGTTCAATCTTCTCGCATGCACGAGTCTCAGAGGTCTCCGTGGACAACCGTTCACGAAAAAAGTTACGAAAGCGAACGCTTGGGTTGTTCGAAGGAGTGGCTACCGTTACACAGGACATGCCACGATGGGTCTTCTGACTGGGATCCCATTATCTACAGTTGAGTAGTGTTTCGTTAGCATTCAGATCAACGACTGTGACAAGGAGTCCGTGCGGCTCGCTTCAGTCACCACTCTATGTTGGTACCAGATCGACCTTTAGTGATAAGCGTCCCACAGCTTTGGGCAACTTTTCAGCTATAGGTCGAAGTGTGCTCATTTGGACATTCGATCAACATTACGCACAGGATTGGAGCGGACCACAGCGGATGTGATGTTACCATAATAGAGTTCGCGAGGTATGGAATTCGGACGACAAGGAGCGGCTACAGACTTTGGTCATGGAGTTTCCGCCAGTATTCTCACGATTCCCTGTGAAAAGAGCTAGTGTCCGGTTGATGATGATGACACACGTATTCGTTAGACTCTACAAATTGATTTGTCTCCTCATATGTTATTAGACGTGTATATCGCTAAGTAGAATAAGTTCAAGCAAGCAAGAGATTGATCTCCAATAGGGCGCAGGATGTTCGTTAGTTAGTTATCGTCACGTGCTAGGTTGTATTATGTCTGCACTGCATATGTTAAGAACAACACTAAATCTTGGACGAGCGCAATTTTGCCTAGCTGTATTGTATCAGATTCATAATTGCTGTAAGCTACTCGTTTATCGCTAGAAGTTTTGTATCAGTACATTACCTAGACGTTGATGCAATGTGCTGCAGGAGAAGCTAATGAGTTCCAGGCATTGTACGCAATATGTATTATGAATCGATCAGTTTTGACCAAGTGCGACACGACATAAACGATAAAGCCTTACCCCCGTTGTGTTGGTTGCGTGAAAGACAAAACGGAGGTTTCGTCGTAGAGTATAGGAGATGAAAGGTGGTATTTATAAATGACATCGAGACTAATAGCTGCATGGTCCCAAAGAGCATAAAGTCTGCGTCAACACTTAGAGCCCTTTCTGTTAAATGGAGCACCACCCAAATAACACTAAAAAGCTGTGTGCTATTAGCAAGGCAAGAAAATTTGCAGTGAAAGACAAAGAATGAGGCCGGTGAGAGAAGAATTAAACGGCGAAAGCGAACATTTTTATCATCCCGCGGTCGCGTTTCCACTCTAGGGCGCGTTATTTCAACTAATCTAGGCGCGTCCTACATGTTCAGCGCGTCATACATTTTTATAGTAAGGCTGGGTTCATACCGTGCGACGGCGTCGTCAACGTCGACGATTTCGACGAAAGCAACGAAAGAGGCGAAACCGGCGACTAGCTCCCGAAGATTGTATACGTATCGATCCGACGTAACGGACGAAACCGACGATTCGGACGAAAGTGACGAAAGAGGCGAAAGGACGAAAGCGACGACTACTTCACGAAGATTACATACCTATCGATTCGACGAACGAAACCGACAAAAGCGACGATTTCGACGAAAGTGACGAAACCGACGAAAGAGGCGAAAGCGACGAAAGTAGCGAAAGTGGCGAAAGCGACGAAAGTGGCGGAAGTGGCGAAAGAGGCGAAACCGACGAAAGGGGCGAAACACGAAACCGACGAATACTTCGCGAACATTAGATACGTATCGATTATGGAAAACGACGGAACTGACGATTGAACCGACGACCAAGAATTAGCTTTTCGTAGATGGTTTTCCCCCACAACTTTTTTACTTTTTGAAAAATTTATTTCCTTTTCTGTTTGTAAACATTTTCCCTATCTCTTTCCATCCTCTTGAGAGACCTTACAACCTATCTTCTTCGACAGACATCGACCGTCGACCGACATCAGAATGGGTAAAGATGAATTAGTGCGCATGAGTCCTTAACACCCGGAAGAGGCATAACTGCAGAGTAGCGTCCTGGGTGGCACTGAAAAATGAGAACTTGACACTATTGTACATTTGAGTGTGCCGTACGGAGAGCTCGATTGTTAGCCACTGACAGGAACGTCCCCATCCAATTAACTGGTTCCCCTCCTTATTTGCTTTAACTGCGAAAATTTCTAAAAATTTTTGATTGACGCATGCTGTCTAGACTACTAATCTTTATACTGTTAATATCCTTAGATTCTATAAAGCAGAACACATTTGTGTGTCGGTTTGTCGGTATGAGTATTGTATGTCGGTTTTGTATGTTTTTCCGGTCCGCAAATGCTTTACGGGATTAAACACGTTAGTGAAAAAAGAAAACGACCGCTAGCCAAACGGGAACCCATCGTGCAGATGTATCAATCCAATGTTTTGATTGTGATAACAGCATATATAAGACAACCACTCGGTACACTCCGAGCCATTGCACGAGCTGCTGGCGTGGCAGCTGGACGTGTGCTTGGTGGGGGCAGGGTGGGGTGCCGAGGGGAGGGGGGTCACCGAGTGACCCTCCCGCTGTGTTCCAACCCTGCACGTGCTCAGCTGGAACTGAGTATGTGAGGAAGGAGTCGGCGGGGGTTCGCGGCGAGGGGGTGCGTAGCGCACGCTCGAGTGGAAGCACGCGGCAACAACAATAGGTAAGAAAACAACCGCTAGAAAAATTGCAAATTGATCCGTAATAAAAAACGCTCTAGGATGTTGTTTTGATTTTTGATTGTGGATACCCTCACAGCATATAAGACAGCCATTTACTGCACTCCGAGCCATTGCACAGGTTGATCGCGTACTAGCTGGACGTGAGCTGTGCGAGAGCCAGGGTGGGGAGAGCGGTACAGTGAGAGGGTGAGTAGGGGGGTATGCTATGAGGGAGCCTAGATTTTGCTGGATCAGAAGAACACCATGGCTAGCACCACTGAAAGCGATAAGACGATGAGTGGAGGGATCAACCGCTAGCAGGCACCTAAAACCCATGCTATAGTGCCGCTTTGAGGGGCTGCTTTGATCGTGATTACAACCTGCACTATAGAAACCACGTAGTGCACTCCAAGTCATACGAGCTGCTCGCTAGAAGAAGCTGGGCGTGAACATGTGCAGGAGCAAGTGTGGTGAGAAGGTGGGGCGAAGATATTGGGAAGGGGATTACTTGGGTGGGTGGGATTAGGGGAGGGGGGGGGTATGATGCGGAGCTTGGAATGCATACGGATAGAATAACAGCTTAACTGAGGAAGCAAAAGCGCTGTGAAAGCGATGAGATGATGAGTGAAGGGATCAACCGCTAGCACGACCGCGAATAAAATTCATGTTATGCTCTTACTTTGGGGCTATGTATCGGTCGTGATTACAACCACACCAATATAAGAGAGCTACGTAGTGCACTCTAAGTCACTTCACGAGCAGCTCAGGCAGCCAGACGCGAACACGTTCAGGAACTATGGTGGGAAGGGGTGGGGAGAGCGAGATGGGAGAGGGTGAGGGTAGGTGAGATGGGGGTACGAAGGTGGAGGGGGGGGGAGGCGGAGCTCAGCTTATGCTGGGTTAGAAGAACACCATAGCTGTAGAACCAAAGCGTAAGGTGATGAGAGAAGGAACCAACCGTTAGCAGGGTTGCGAATAAAACCCATGCATAGTATTATTTCGAGGAGGTAATCTAAGGTTTCAACCTCCACTATAAAAGAAAACGTTGTGCACTCCACTTCACTGCAGCTGTAGCTGGAAGCGATTACGTGCATGGGTCACCGTGATCAAGGGTTGGGACGGGTAGATGTGGAAGGGGATAGCGAGAGTTAATCGGATCAGTGAAGAGGGAGTGAGATGGTTAGCTGCTGACCATTGCATAACTGTGGAGCAAAAAGATAAGTGAAAGCAAAATATGAAGTGAGAGGGATCAATCACTAGCAGAGTGGCGAGTCAATCCATGTTGTGGTGTCAGTCTAGAGCGATTTTTTCCGCGACAACAAAAGGACCAGTGGATATTATAAGGCTAGGAACGGTGTTATTGTCATACTTATGTTATGTCGAGATATCGACATGTTGTAAAGTTTGAAATGAGCGGAATTGAACCAAAAAGTTTGAACATTTGCAGTTTGGTTTCCCGCCTGTGATCTGACTTTTGCACGAGCTTACATGAGCGGCAACCTTAAGTGACAAGCAAAACAAAAACGAAATGGCAACTCATAAAGTAGTTGCAACCAATGCGCTAGCGTATACGAAGAGAAATGAAGCAACCACCATTAGAGCCATACGATAGTCATCGAAAGCCAGTAGGCCAACAGAATGGTTATCACTCGGAAGGGTTATACGCTTTTTTGATTTTTTTTGGTCTCAGCTCTAATCTTATAATCTCTGAATCTGATCCCATAAGTTCATTCGAAACACTGACGTTATGATGGACAGTGACAATTGTTCAAACTTCTCGCAGTCAACTCAGGGAGAAGAGAGGTTGGCTATTATATTACTCAAGGCTCTGACTAAGGGGCCGCGCAAGTAGCGGTTTTCTCTACAGAAATGACTTCTTCTGAGAGAGCACTCTGTTTCTAAACTGAACTTTCCACTGTTTATAAACCCCTTCGTATTCCGATCCAGATCAGTATTCGGAGAGTTGAATGTGAAAAAGACTTTGGAGTCATAACACTGGGTTCTAATGAATAAGGAAGAAATCAGTCGAGTCTGCTCAACTGCCCTGTGCCGGGCCACATTTTGCACGATCAGTATCGAGTCAATGGATACCATGGGCTTTTGCATACTCCTCATAGAATTTGTACAAACGTCGACCTGAGGCCAATTCCCCTCGGCTTTGCATTCACCTTTGAATGTAATTGGAGGTCACCAAGATCGTAAATTCTAGGCTAATGGAGAGCTGATATTATGCGTATACGACCAGTGGTTCGCAACTACATTTGTCTGAGATCTGTATTGCATATAGTGGATGTAAGCTCTATAATGAGTGCACGCAAAAGTTAGGGGTGATCCAATTGATAATGAGCTACTGTAAACATTTAACAAACGTTATCTCATGCAAACAAAAGGCTCCCGATAAAACCTATTTCTTGGAACTATATAAGAGTCTTCGAAGATGTGTTCCTTCATTGGGAGAGGAATGTGTGTACCACTAAAATCCTTCATAAATTTTTAGGAGGAGACGCCAGCCTGGAGCCGAGACAGAAAGTGAACGTCCAAGTTATAGGGAGAGGGAAGCGGCTAGAAAGAGGGCTAGGAGACAAAATGAGAGCGCTGAAGAGCGACAAAGTAGGCTTCAGCGGGAGGCTGAGCAAAGACGTAAAAGACGCACACAGGAGACACAAGAACAAAGAAATGCTCGACTTTCGGTTGACGCTGAAAGAGCTAGAATCCATAGGCAACAAGAAAGCGAAACTCAGAGGAGTGCTCGCCTGACAGGTCTCGCTGAACGAGCTCGAACTCAAAGACAGCTGGAGGATGACGAGCACAGGGAAATCCGTCTGTCTCGAGTCGCCGATCGCGCTCGCATTCGAAAAGCACTGGAGGACGAAGATCATAGAGAAATGCGCCTCGCAAGACTTGCTCAGAGCGCTCGAATTCGAAGGGACTCGGAGGATATGGAACGTAGACAGGCGCGCCTTGCAAGACTTGCACAGAGCGCGCGAATTCGAAAGGAGCTGGAAGATGAGGCGCATAGGGAAGCGCGCTTGGCGGGACTGGCTGAAAGCGCACGAGTTCGACGTGAACTAGAGGGCGAAGAAGATAGGGAAGCACGATTAGCAGGGAACGCTGATAGAGCTCGAATGTGGCGACGTTTGGAGGACGCTGCACAAAGACAATTGCGGCTAGCTCAAGACGCAGCTAGGGCTCGAGCACGGCGACTTTCGGAGGACGAGGAGCAAAGGTTCACAAGATTGACACAAGAAACGGAGAGGTCTAGAATAAGAAGGCAGCAAGAAAATGAAGAAGATCGGGAGTTGCGGAGAGTGGAGGACGCAGCCAGAGCGAGACAACGTAGAGATCAAGAAGATCAGGAGCAGCGACAACAACGCAGTCTTGCTTCAGCTCAACGGGAGCGGATACGGAGGAGTCAAGAGACATTGGAGGAAACTCAAGAAAGGCGACGTCTCGAAACTGAACGCTATCACAACCGTAACTCAGCATTCGCACATCAAACACGAGGGATAGCTAGAACAAATGCTAATCCGGAGGAACATTACAGCGGACAGATGGATGTATTTTGTGGAAGTTGTGGCGCCAAGCATTTCAGATCGGAATCAAAAGGGAGGGCAACCTTTAACGATTGCTGCAATCATGGCAGCATCACTTTGCGGCATTTCCACAACTATCCTGCGGAGCTACGTCAACTGCTCACAAGTCAGGAAGCTGAAGCAAAGGAATTTCGTGAGCATATCCGTAGCTACAACAGCGCCTTTGCTTTTGCCTCCATGGGCGCTCAGCTGGATACCCCACGCGGACATGGCCCTTACTGCTTCCGCATCCATGGCCAAATCTACCACAGAATAGGACCTGTGCGTCCGGAGAACGGTCATCCCCACCGATACGGCCAGGTCTACATACTGGACACGTCAATGGCAGCAGAGGAAAGGATGGGAAATCCAGCCAATGCGCACTGCAACTCCCGGCTGATGCATTCATTGAGTGGACTTCTGCACAGAATCAACGCTTTTGCACAAGCCTATAAAATGATGAATGAGGTGGCTACAGAGGAAGAGTTGCGAGCTGCTAGGGAAGGAAGATCAGCGAAACCAGTAAGAATGGTATTTGAAACACCATCCAGCTTGGATAGACGTCGCTACAACGCTCCTACAACAAACGAAGTAGCCGTGATTTATGTTGGAGATGATGGCGATGTACCCTCTGAACATAATCTTGCAGTGCACCTAAGGGCGGGAGGGCTCCAAACTATTCGTGTTATAGATCCTGAGTGCGATCCACTTACCTACCCAATATTATTCCCGCATGGAGAGCTAGGGTGGCATCCGAATATGCTTAAAAATCCCTCAGAAAGACGTCGAGTTAGGATAACCCAGAAAGAGTACTACTCCAGCATGATTGCGTCCCGGAACGAGTTCAATCCTCTCCATTACGCGGGGAAGCTCTATCAACAATTTTTGGTAGATAGCTATGTAAAGATTGAACAGAATCGTCTCAATTACGATCGCACTCATCAAATGGAGCTCAGGGTGGACAGCTACCGCGGCCTTGCTGACTATGTGGCTGGCGACAACGACATCGGAGGCCCACCAGGCATGAGACGAATCATTTTGCCGTCTTCCTTTCCGGGGTCTCCTCGCGCAATGGTCCAAAATTATCAAGATGCAATGGCCATTGTCTCAAAATACGGGAAACCAGACCTTTTCATAACCTTCACCTGCAATCCCACTTGGAGGGAAATCGCTGAGCAGCTGAACCCCGGGCAAACAGCTTCCGATAGGCCGGACATCGTTGCCCGTATTTTTAACCTCAAGCTACAAGAGCTCTATTGCGATTTGTTCAAGAGGCAGATATTCGGAGCCGTGACTGCGTACATTTCCGTCATGGAATGGCAGAAACGAGGGCTTCCACACTGCCATATGCTGATAACATTGGCAGAAGAGGACAAACCTAGGAGTACTGCTGATGTGGATTCCATCGTCCAGGCTTTCATACCCGACCAGGAAGCGGAGCCTCGCCTTCACAGAGTTGTGACGACCTGCATGATGCATAGGCCCTGCGGAGCAGACAACCCACACTCGCCATGTATGGTTGATGGAAGATGTTCAAAAAGGTTTCCAAAGCAGTTCCGAGAAACAACGGATACAGAACACGACGGCTATCCAGAGTATCGTCGACCGAATGACGGCAAAACCTGCATATCCGGTGGGAAAGTTCTTGATAACCGATCTGTAGTACCGTACAACAGGTATTTAGCCCTTCGATATAACGCCCATTTGAACGTAGAAATCTGCGGAATGATCGAAGCCGTTAAATACATGTACAAGTATGTGTACAAAGGGCCTGACCGAGCTGCTCTGCGCATGACACGGCAAGCAAATGAAGCTGAAGGCAGATTGGTAAATGAGATTGACGAATTCGTGAATGCAAGATATGTATGTGCGCCGGAAGCCGTACACAGACTCCTTGGATTTGATCTCCAATCCAAGTCCGACACGGTCTACAGATTACAGGTTCATCTGCCAGACTATCAGACTGTAGCGTTTCAAGAAGGTAGAGAGGAAGAAGCAGTTCGTCGAGCAGCTGAAAGAGACACCACCCTGACTGCTTTTTTCAAACTGAACGAAGAGTACGATACTCTGTATGGCGAAGATGAACTGCCTCAAGGAGAAAGGGATCCTCGCACACTGCTTTACATACAGGTACCAGAGTTCTTCTCATTTGACCAACAAGCGAGGAGGTGGAAGGCAAGAAGAAGACATAGCCGTCAGATAGGAAGGATGTACACTGCTAATCCTCTAGACGTGGAACGGTTCAGTCTTCGAATCCTCCTGTTGAATAGGAGGGGTCCGAAATCATTTAATGATTTGAAGACTGTCGATGGAATCGTCCATAATACGTACAAGGAGGCAGCTAAGGCTCTCGGACTGATGAACGACGACTCCCATTTTGAAAACTGCCTAAGTGAAGCCTCGCAATTCCATATGCCGGGTCAACTTCGATCCCTTTTCAGTAGCCTTCTTTGTTTTTGCACTGTTTCTGAGCCTGAACAATTATGGGACAAGTTCAAGAGAGCTTTAGCGGAGGACTTCATCCATCGAGGAGCAAATGAAGAGGAGGCAGTCACGCGTGCCTACTTTGATATCATGGATAGGATGATGATGTGCAGAGTCGATTTAAGAAGCTTGATTAGACCTCCCTCTGAACATAGACCTGTTCAAATCAGTGATGAAGAGCTCACAGAGCCTGAGCACGTTGCTCTCGGAGAACAACTGATGCAACAGCTAAACCACCACCAGAGGGCAGCAGCGAATAACATTATGAGGACCGTTACCAGCGAAGACAATCGGCACTTCTTCATTGACGGTCCTGGAGGTAGCGGGAAAACTTTTCTCTACACTGCTCTGTACCATACATTGCTTGGTATGAGGAAGAATGTCGTTTGCGTGGCCTGGACGGGAATTGCCGCTAACCTGCTGCCCAAAGGAAGAACTGTTAGTAGCACTTTCAAGCTCAATATTCACGACAATAACAGAACATCTGCGATGAAAAGGGAATCAGCTGAAGCGAGAGCTCTTCGAAATGTGTCTGTCATATTTTGGGACGAAATATCAATGGTGCCGAAATGGACCTTCGAAGCTGTAGACCTCCTGCTGAAGGACGTAATGCAAAATACTCTTCCATTCGGAGGCAAGCTGATGATCGTAGGAGGGGACTTTCGGCAAATCCTTCCAGTAGTAGAAAGAGGACAACAAGAAGATCTAGAAGGAGCCTGCGTTAAAAGTTCTTTGTTATGGCAGCACTTTGTTACGCTCCACCTGTCAACGAATATGAGGGCTTCCCCAGAAAGCGCAGCGTGGGCAAGCATGCTTTTGGAGATTGGAAATGGTACTTATCCAGAAGACGAGAACGGTTTCATTAAACTCCCAGACGAAATTCATAGCAATGGAGACTTGATCACAGAGATCTTTGGTGAGACAATTGGCTTTGATGGTGTCGCAGATCTTGCAGAGAAAGCAATCCTCGCTCCGAAAAATATTCATGTCGCCCATTTGAACGAACTGGCACTCCAGCGGATGTCTGATCGATTTGAAGTGAAGGAATACAAAAGCGTTGACGAAGCAGAGCACCCAGACCCAGATGAAAGCCTCAGCTATCAAACCGAGTTCCTAAACAAGTTGAGTCCGAGTGGAATGCCGCCTCACGAGCTCAGGTTGAAGCAAGGTTGCATCGTAATGTTACTGCGGAATCTCGATGTCTCCAGGGGTCTCTGCAATGGTACTAGGCTGATTGTCGACCAACTCGGCCGATTTGTTCTCGGGTGTCGCTTCGCCACTGGGAGCAGAAGAAACCAGTACGTCTTGCTTCCCCGAATTGATAACTACACCGAGAAAGGACTGCCATTTCGCCTCAAAAGACGTCAATTTCCAATCCGTCTTGCCTTCGCTACCACAATCAATAAGTCTCAAGGGCAAACACTCTCGAAGGTGGGGGTGTACCTCCCCGATGACGTCTTTTCTCATGGCCAACTTTACGTGGCGTTATCGAGAGTACGGAGCCCTGCATCGCTCAAAGTGTTGTCCCCCAGTGGAAAGGTCCGGAATATTGTGTACAAAAATGTTTTGTGAGTTTTGCGATATTTACGAGAAGAATGCTGACATCATCATAAGTGTTGTATCACTGAAAGATTGTGGGCTGACTGCATTCTAGGTTTCCAGTGAAGCAGCGATAACTTTCGTACTAATCATCTCAACTACATTCGTGCATATCAGTGTTCCGCATTGGACGGGGCTGGGGTAGTTTTGGAAAAATTTTATAATGGTACTCATTTTACTCACTTACTTACTGAGAGCATGCAAGGCTAGACATTAGAGAGTTGTTGGTATTTTTGTGTCCATACACAGATGTAGTGCTCAGATTGGTCCGTTACGAATGCCTTGAGTTCGCTGCTTCTTGGGAGATAGTTTGCTTTACCTACTCTCTTCAACGGTACATTTATATGTTGGTAGCAGCAAGAAGGAAGCCGGGATGTCGCATTGCTCATGAAACGGGAATCGCTGAGATTTACAAGGCAGGCCTCTGAAGAAGAAGAGGGCGAATGCACAATGCGCAACTCGATGGACGGTGCTCCACGTCCGAACATGCAAGACAAGCAATAACTCTGCACTCGGAAAAAGCAGTCGGAAAATTTTGAAGCAGCGAAAGAGATCTCTTCATGGCTCGCTTGAGTGATCACTCTCTTCAAACTTATGTCTCACATGGCTTCCTCATAACGAAAAGCACAGCTGCGGAACGAAGAAGGAAAGGAAGAAAGAATGAACGCTGGATAAACAAGATAAACCCCGCTGACACCCCGAAAAGGTATACTTCGCACATAGAGCTGCTAACAGCATGTCTTACAGTTCGTTTACATTTAGACTATTCCGTGTACGGAATCGATCATGATGTATCTGTAGAAGA